ATGGTGGGACGTGGTGTGACGTGGTGTGACATGGTGGGACATGGTGGGATGTGGTGGGAGGTGGTGGGACATGGTGGGACGTTGTGGGACATGGTGGGACGTGGTGGGCTCCCATCACAGCCAGGGGTCCCCGTGGAGAGCAAATTCAGGAGCAGCTGGTGAGGGAACTTTGGAGGGGATGGGAAGGATCCAGCCCAACATCCCAACCGTCGGCACAAAGCCAATGCCAAGCAGGAAAGAGCCAGGAGACGCTGCTGGATGGGAACCCACCAAGCACAGGTGAGACAGAGCAATTAGACCACGAGCTGACCTAAAGCCTGGGAGGAAAATTCCCCCCAAAAGTACCCAAAAGAGTGGGATTGTGGAGGATGTTGGGTCTGTGCCTCCCTGAGGCCCAACATCCCAACCGTCGGCACAAAGCCAATGCCAAGCAGGAAAGAGCCAGGAGACGCTGCTGGATGGGAACCCACCAAGCACAGGTGAGACAGAGCAATTAGACCACGAGCTGACCTAAAGCCTGGGAGGAAAATTCCCCCCAAAAGTACCCAAAAGAGTGGGATTGTGGAGGATGTTGGGTCTGTGCCTCCCTGAGCTGATGGACATGGGAGTCCCATGGGACAGGGTGACCATCCAGCCTCCAGCTCACACCCAGAGCAGACCAGCACAGATCTGTGCAAGACCTTCCAGATCTAAGAGGGCTTGGAAAATCCCAAGGACAGGCAGCTTGAGGAGACCTCCTAGCCATGGGTGTTGGGGTGATGCTGGACTGTGCAGAGAGCCTGAAGCCACGTCCCCAGGGAACCTGCACCCCATTAGGATGGGGACCTGTCCCCACTAATGACAGGCACTGCCATCCCCAGGGGTGACAGCAAGGAGCCAGGAAGACCCAACTGGGATTATGTGGGAGGGAAGGAACCACGGTGGAAGAGCACAGAGAGGTGCCCAAGCACCACAGGGCAACGGGGTGTCCCCAGACTGCAACCCCTGGGCAGGGGGCAGGAGCCTGGAGCTGGGCTGCTGCTCACCAGGACAGGTTTGTCCCATGAGAGGTTTGGAAAACATGGGAATGGTCTCCTATCCGAACGGGTGCGACCACTGAGCCACCTCCAAAGGTGTCTTTTACTGGGGCAGACTGGGCTCACTGGGATTTTCCATACTGTCCAGCCCTGCTGCCTCACTCATTGCATTCTTATCCCTGTTTTTTGGATCAATTCCCAAGCCCAAACCGCAACAGAGATGTTCCCACCACAACAGAGATGTTCCCACCACAACAGAGATGTTCCCACCACAACAGAGATGTTCCCACCACAACGGAGATGTTCCCACCACAATGGACATGTTCCCACCACAATGGACATGTTCCCACCACGGTGCAGCTGCCACAACAGAGATGTCCCCACTATGACTAAGATGACCCCACCTCGGAGAAGCCACCATGACAGAGACGTCCCCACCACAGAGGAACTGCCACAATGGAGATGTCCCCACCATGATGGAGATGTCCCCACCACAGAGGAGTCACCACAACAAAGATGTCCCCACTACAACACAGACCTTCCCACCAGAGAGGAGCCACCACAATGCAGGTGTCCCCACCACGGAGGAGCTGCCACCACAGAGATTTACCCAGCC